AGAGGTTAAGTTGATGCTTGTGTGCTACGAAGTAACTCCACAATTCCTTCATTTTTCCTTCAAAGAGTTAGAAACGCTAAATGAAGCTCAAATATGAAGTTGGATGGATTAGGGTTTGGTTCTAAGAACTTGGAGGGGATGGAGGCTGAGGGCCCAAGGCCCGAGATTTAGGGTTTTGATCCCCATCCGTCACCACTTCATGGCCAATACATGACCACGACGTGACCGCTTAAAAATGATCGTAATTCATAAGATGTTGCCAAGTCATAGTGATCCTCCTATACCACGTCGTGGCCACCAAAAATTCACAAGATTGAAGCTTAAGACTTATACATGAACACCGATATTACAACTGTTTATCCCATGTTATTAGAGGCAAATCAATTCTCAAGCTAAGCCAAGCTATTACACTTGCTAAGTTGGAACATCTTTTACTATGAATTTTGTATTATACATTACAAGGGTGAAAACGGTACTCCCACTAGCATTGACATTTGTATGGCTATTATTCGTTTCTCGAAATTCAAAACTCCTTGAATTTTCTCATTGAAATAATAATTCTAACTAATCCTACTAGCTTTGACATACTTATGGTCCACCTTTGTTTCTCTGAATTCAAAACTCTTTGAATTTTGTCATTAAAGCAAGGATTCCATTTAGATGCTTGTTTCAGTTCATAAATGAACTTACACATTTTATCTTCCTTCGATAATGTGTTTGCACCCATCCATATTTGTTATCTTCTTGAAGATACACAAATACTTACGGTTTTAAGGTCAAGTGTTTTATCAACCAAGATTCAAACTTACATGGATTGATTCTCACTCTTCATGTCATTCTTTCTTCTCACAACTTTTTAGGGCATGTCATGACTTTCAATAGCTGGAACACTCTGATTGTCATCTATCAGTGACTCATATTCCTCAGTAATATAGATTCTATATAACTAGGTCTATGACGTCCTCTATCAAATTTATTAGGAAGAGTTGGAGGTATGACGGTTTCCTTAATAGCCTATTAAAAATCGAATTGATTTTTATGACAACTATAGGTTCTTCATTGGTCGACTCTTGAATCTTAGCAAGATCAGTGTGGCCCTTACTAGCTCTTTTGGATATCAAATTCATCTCAATAAGGACTTCCCTTCCAGTAACAAAAGGTTTGTAAAACAGTTATCCAAAATGCTTGTTGGGATGTCCAACGAGACAACACATCTATAATTGAAGTCATAGATTGTTGAGCATTTTACGAAGAACGCAAGTCTCATAATAGTAGACTTCCATATGTGCTAGTAAGGGATGATCCCTTACTCCACGTTTCAGAGAGTGTCTAATAAACCTTCTTAGTTGGTGCAAGACCAAGGACTCTTATAACACTTGTTCATGGTACAATTTGTGAATTGATTGTAAAGCATATCTATCCAACTATACTCCCTATGGCAGTGTTCTGGTTGGGGAAACTTGTGAAACCTTTTCAAAATTCCTTAGATGATTGACATAGTTTTGATCAAGATGCTCATAATTCTTGTAGGATCTAAGTATCTCATCCTCTTGCCGAGTTGATTCTTAACTTTTTTATGAGAGTTCTGAACACCTAAAAGGTTCCAAACTCATGTTCATACTCTTTTGAAGCTACAAAGTTGTTCATGTATTGTGGTTATTTTGAACGGTTCATTAGTGTAAACTAATTCCAATTGATATTTACATCACTTAGTGATGCAAATATCATATATCTTGATAAACAAGATTTGTATTAATCATAAGACTTGAGGTCGAATGACTTCCAAAATCTTATCTCACTGGATCTTTGGTAATGCAATTTTTTATTCATATCAACAAGACTATGATTTGACAAGTACATTTCATCCAAAATTTTCGATGTATTTGAATTAGTATGTTTTGTGGTCAAATCTGAACGGACAATTAGTCAGACCAATTCCTTCAAATATTCATCTACCTTGAAAGGATATGGCTTGCATTTATCATAAGACTCGTGGTCAAATGAATTCTAAAATCCTTCCGACTAGATCTTTGGTAATGCAACTCTCACTTCCAAGAAGAAGATTCCACATCAGTACTTCAGATTAAAACATTCTAATCAGTTTTGAACTATTGTTCATATACCAGTTTCATAGATTTCATGAGTTTTCTTTAAATAGAACAACATATAAATTGTTCCACATTTAAATTAGTTAGAACAATCTTATGAAATTTGTATAAACAATTTTAATCATAAACCATAGACTTAAAACATTTGGGAGAATGATTATCTTTTGATCCTATGAATAGTAGCAAGGGCCCGATATTCATGATCAAATTTCCTTCTCCTTCTTTTAGTCTTCTTACTCCCTTTTAGTCATTGAACATTCTTGCAAATATTAGTACTTTATACTTAGTAAAATACTCAGGGGTTGAAAGTAATGTTCCAATGGTATTATAAATTTCCATATCTGGTTGTAGACTAAATATTCACGAGAATGAGTTGTCGTTTGATCCTATGGATAGTATCTTGGGCTCGTAATCCATGATCAAATTATCTTTTCCATGTTTCATTCTTATCCATCAGACATATTGGGCATTTATGCTTTATTGGTCATTTTCTTGTTATGGAAACGAATATTTTATCAGAATAAGTTTTCCTATTGTCCTTAGCGTTTGGGGCCGAACTGGTATATCACCACTAATTGCCTTTTACACGTGGGCAACTAACTTTCTTCTTCTTGATACTTCTATTCATAATAGTGAATGTAGGAGTATTTTTGAAGTTGGAGTTTCTATGAATAGCCATGTTAGTCCCAAATGACCTCAACATGCCATGCAACTCCTTTATGGACATTTCCAAGATGTTCATATAAAAACATAATGAAATGATTATATGTATATGTTAGCTAGTTGAATATGACCATATTCAACTCCTAACTTGATGAAATTTCATTTTACTTCAATAGCTTTCTCATAGGACTGATCTCTTTATTCGTTTATGAGAATAATTCTCAAGCTACAGATTTTGACTAGATTGATCATCCTACAATCTAATCCTTGTCGAGGTTCTTAACATGAGATTTTAGCGGATTATCTTATAGATATCATTCGATATTAATTCCATTCTTATTTGATTTATTAATCCTTAAAATAAATTTTAACCGTAATTAATTATTTCAAAAGTTAGGATCCATATTTGGCTCTATGATGTTTAAATAGATGTCGTAAACACACCATTAAGTTATTTAGGTAGACAAAGCACTTTGTCAGTTTCAATCTCTTATTAAACTCCTAGATTATTTAAGATTCATTGACATTCAATGTCATGTTAATCTCAGATTGTGCTCATCTCGATTCAATGACGGAAATGTCGCAGATCATTGAATAGATGGTGAATTAATCATGCAAAACCACATGACGATATTGACGTGTCGGTTAACCACACACGCTCCATCAACATTATAATTTCACGAGTGGCACATGATATTAACTTCTATTTTCGCAATGACTTGTCGGTTAACCACACACACTTCATCATCAAAATATAAATAATATGTGCACATTTTCATGGGTAACACAGGACTCACGTTTTATAAAACGAGAATTTTGTTTTATTACTTTAGTTAATACTTTTAACTTATGAACGATTATCTAATCAACCATTTCAGTAACTTCAATCTCAAAATGCAAAGAGGTGGTAAGGTTGATAAGTCTAAGGGTTTTTAAAAACCAACCTCATTTGGAATCGAAGAGACTTCCTTAAACATCTCTCAAATTACCCTCATATTGACGCGTCGGTTAACCACACACGTTCCATCAACATTATAATTTCACGAGTGGCACATGATATTAACTTCTATTTTCACAATGACTTGTTGGTCAACCACACACTCCATCATCAAAATATAAACAATATGCATTTTCATAGCTAACACAAGACTCACGTTTTATAAAATGAGAATTTTATTTTATTACTTTAGTTAATACTTTTAACTTATGAACGATTATCTAATCAACCATTTCAGTAACTCCAATCTCAAAATGCAAAGAGGCGGTAGGGTGATAAGTCTAAGGGTTTTTAAAAACCGACCTCATTTGGAATGGAAGATGCCTCCTTAAACCTCTCTCAAAGCATTAAATTATGTGAGTTTAGTCATTGATTCGACGATAACATTTCTGCTAAACATATGAGGACACGTGTTTATAAGATTGTTATACATATAATAATCTTACCATATATCCTAAATTTAAACCTTTTAAATTTATATATTTTTTTTAAAAAGGTTTAGCTAATAAACTTTCAAAATTTGTGATTATTTGAAAGTTTATATTTTGGAATGTGTAACATAGTCGTGTTGATGGCATGTCAATGATGATCTCTAGTCGATTAGATTGAAAGGTTGACTACATCCAACACATCCACAAAGAATAGAAAAAAGATCCCAATACATATATTTTATGATAAACTGCTACCCTGAAGAAAAAAATTACTTATCAAATAGGAAGATAAGATTCATTCCATAATCCTATATAATCAAAATTGATTATGATAAAATCTCTAATCAATTATCTAAATTAACTATAAATAATGAAAAATTTTAAATTTTAAAAACAGAAAAAAACAAGTCTCTAAATAATCTTAAATGACCAAAAAAACACCTTAAATCAAGGCAAAACAACAAAACAATGGATTCGATTAACCGGTCCATTTTCCAACTTTGGATTTCATGTTTTGTATCGTTGATGAACAAGCACAAGAACAGGATGAATGCTTGAGATTTTAACAATAGTAATTTAAAATAAATTAAACTATATAAAGAATGAACTTCTTTAAATATTAAGAAACCTAAAAATAAACAAAAGTCGACATGTACACCATCTCAACATCACATAGATATAGAGTACCCGAATTTGTCTGTACTTGAAACAAACTTGTCCCTATCCAAAAATAAATAAACATATAAAACGTGTTTAACATAAATATATAAGTGAAAGAAATCGCGTAATAAAATTGGATTCTTAAAAAGCATAATGAAAACTTATATACCAACCAAGATCCAATTCACAAACCCAAAAATAAACCATACTAAATACACACAACTCTACATAAAAACACCCAAAAGTTCATATATCATATATCGACTCCAACAACTTCCACCTTCCAACTTCCTATTTCTATAAAAAAAAACAAAACAACATGCCATCATCAATCAAGACTCACATCCAACAATTGGGGTGCAAAAAAAAAACATAATTCGAATGTGGACTGACTGAGTGACTATAATCATTGTTGGTGTACTTTCTGTAACGCTTGGTGGAACAAATCAATGAACTGATTATCCTGCACATTATAATTTATACCAATGATTTAAATACAACTTGATAAAAAAAATAAAGTATATTACAAAAAATGGTCCATGTGTTTTATAATTTTTACTGTGTTTGGTCCAAAATTGAAACCTTTTCCAAATTGGGTCCTTATTTCAAGGTTACATATCGATTTTGATCCCTGCATCCTTGAAATAAAGACCAAACTCAGAAAGTCCCAGGGACCAAAAGTGATACAAAACCAGACTAATAAGGACCAAAACTGAAAAATGCTTTTATTTTGGAGTAAAAATCAGAAAGCATATGGACCATTTTGTAACTTACTTTAGATTTTAATACCGCATGTAATCCAATATTGAAACATTTTTCAATTTTGGTCCTTATTTCAAGGTTTCATATCGCTTTTGGCCCCTAATAAAGACCAAAATCGATACAAAAACTTGAGATAAGAACCAAAACTGCAAAATGTTTTAATTTTGGACTAAACACAGTAAAAATCGGAAAAAGCACATGGACCGTTTTTATAATTTAATTTAGATTTTAATACCCGTTTGTAGTCCAATACTGAAACATTTTCAAATTTGGTCCTTATTTCAAGGTTTTATATCACTTTTGGCCCCTATAACCTTACAATAAAGACCAAAATCGACATAAAAACTTGAGATAAGGACCAAAACTGAAAAATGCTTAAACTTTGGACTAAACACGGTAAAAATCAGAAAAAGCACATGGACCATTTTTATAATTTACTTTAGATTTTAAAATATTGTTTGTAGTCCAATACTGACACATTTCCAAATTTGGTCCTTATTTCAAGGTTTCATAACCTTAAAAAAAAGACGAATCAAAATGAAACCTTGAAACAAGGACCAAAACTGAAAAATATTTTTAAGTTTGGACTAAACACGGTAAAAAAAAACACACACACACACATATAAGATTTTTGTAATGTAGTCTAGAATATTTATATACCTGGGCAAGCATTAGAAGGGCATCACGGACTTTTTCCCTGCTGAATGAACCATAATTTGGAGAAGAACTGGAGCCAGGGGTAAGGGAAGGGGGTGGGGTGGGTGGGGGGAATGGTTGGAGCAATGGAATCCCATGGCTCCGTGGTTGAACAGGAGCCCCTGGAATAGATGGTGGAATGGAATGTGTCATCAATGGAGTTGGAGTTGGAGTTGGAGTTGGAGAGGGTGTAAAAAAAGAAAGGGGTTTGATAAGATTAGTGACACGTGTACTGTTATTGTTGTTGTTGTTGACCTGGTCTTGACTTTCATGGAGTGGGATTCCGATTCCGGAGGTTGATGAAGGAAAGGATGGCATTTGGAGTGGCGTATGGTTGAGTGAAGGGGAAGATGCAACACGGGAATGTAATGGAATTGATGTGGAGGTGTGATATGGTGGAATGGAATTGACTGAGTTGGATGGATGGTGTCCAAGATTCATAGTATTCTGAAAGAAAGGAATTAGTTATTAACGTATAAAATAAAAGGAAAAATTACAGAAAAACCATTATGTTGATGAAATAATACATACACCAAAGAAGTTTGCAAATGAAGAATCTTCAGGGATATCTGTGGAGCTTGAAGTGGTAAATGGTGGTTCTAGTGGTCCTTCAATTACTGAAGAGGTAGGTACAGCTTCAAGTTCCTCAAATTCACTATATATAAAAACTTTAATTATAGTTATTGTAAATAAATTTTAATGAAATAGTGAAAATAGTATTGAGTACCTTTTGTTTACTTTTGGCTTGAGAGGGACCTTTGAATATGCACCGAGTATCCTGAATAAATCAATAAAAAAATGTGTGTGATTATGATATTCTTAACCATTCTATTCCTTCTTCAATTCCATTATACTAAACACTACCTAAGTAGCAATAAAACTTATACTCTTCAACAATCCAAACATAAAGTTCACAACTTGAAATATCTCTAGAGTTTGATAGCTCAATTCCAACTCATAACACTCTATATGCATATTTAATATATTAAGAAAAAGGAGGAGAAATAAATACCTAGTAAAAAGATTTGCAACATCTTCACACTCACGTGGATTGTAGAACCAAATACCATTGACTTCTTGAGCAGGATTTCTATAAAGGAGATATGGAACTTGAAGTTCATACTCAAAATCCCCTAAAAGATCCTCAACTAGATTTTCTGTGGAATGTTGATAAAATAAAATATGTAAAACAAAATATAAAAAGTAGAGTGCCTCAATTAGAAAGGTGGAAGGAAGCTTGCCTGTATTTCTCCGATTCATTACTATAAATTGAAACCTTGGCTGGGCATTCCTGCAATTAGATCTAAATAAGAATCCATAATTTTGTTTATAATCAACAAATAGCATTGTTCACAATGACAACAACCTTTTAACCACAAAGAGAGACCCTTCAACATCCTTGCGACTCTGAAAAAGTAAGCAAACCACCAATGATGAATAAATTATATAAGTGATCAGAAATATCATAATCTGTGTTGTTTGTATAACTATAATATATTATCATATTCTTCTCCAAAGATCTGGTGTAAGGTGCCTGGAGTCTAAAGAGGATAGCTTTATAATTACATTACTATTGTTTGTTGGCTTCTGATGGGAAGACAAGAAGAATCTTAGGACCATTTAGTTATTTTATCTGTGCTCACAAAGGTAGAACTCTAATTCTCTATATAATGGAGTGATCCTCAATATTGGCTGTTGAATAATATAATATACAATGAGATAATTTTTCATTACATTTGATATGTCAAAAATGTTATTTTGGATATGATGCCATAAAATGTAAGTAATCCAGGTTCGAAGTCTAAGATCCCTAGTTCCATTTTAGTGTTTCCCCCAAATACTTCCTCTAAATCTGTCGTGCATCAACTTAAATCAACTCATCCCTGCTCAAACATTTAGCCAAATAACAAACAAATGAAATAAGCAGACACATAATCAACAAATACCATGAACTGCATTCGAAAACCTAATGCCGATATTGTCGTATCGCGTCAGAACCCTAATTAATCGTATATAGCTAACGTTTATCATTTGTTCTAGTGCCGTTTCACGTACGAATCCTATCGAAAAAGCTAAATGAATCAAAATCAAAACAGAAAAAGAAATCCTAACCCATTGATTGAGGTCAACGTTGAATTCGTAGAAGGTAACATGAGCGGCGGTGATTAAGATCTCCTCAATGTAAGGATCCATTCTCTGAAGTACAGTAAGGTTAAGGATTTTTGTACTGTTTTGATCCAGATTGGGCATCAATTTGCCATTTTGAGACATCTTCTCTCTCTGATGAATTCGATCGAAATCAATCCAACTCCTCCAAGGAAACCCTAAACCCAAGCGAGAGAGAGAGAGAGAGAGAGAGAGAGAGAGAGAGAGTAATCTGATAAGAAAGTCGGTTATATGATTTTTGTTGGCGCTAAATAGTCCATGAATTTTTATACTTTATCGACATTTGTCGTGTTTATAAAACCTTATTTTTTATTTTGGATTATTTAGTAATAAGACGCTATTTTTAAAAAAGTTTGTTTGTTTTTTTTTAATCTTAAACTAATACGTATAAGAATTTTTTGTGTTTTTCTTGAGATTCATGTGAAATCATAGAAAAACCATTTTTGTCAAATTTATAAATGTATCAAAGGGACCACAGTCCACATTTATAAATATAAAATAACAAGTGTATAATTTCTAAAAAATCACATTTCTAAGTAGTTGAAATTTACAAATTATGTATTGATGATGAAATCTAGGGTTTTGATTATTTTGACAAGCAACTAATCCGCTTTGTGTAAGAAATATAATACGATTTATATGTTAACTTAAACAACATTCATATCACCACATTCTTGAACATTAAGTTTTGTTGTTAACAAACAACTAGATCAATTCCATTGATAAACAACTTTACAACAATTTCATTCACACTCATATCGATCAATGTTGAAACACAAATCATGAAAATGACAAACTATGCAACCATGAAGAACAATTCGTGTGTTTTAAAGAGAAAATGCAGATAAAACGATCAAGCACATGAGGACAACAACCGCTAGAAAAGAAGCCACCACTGCCCCACTAATTTCCTGACAAAAATCATTAAATTGTTGACAAATCGCTGGCCAATTTGCATCTGAATTTCCGTTATGGGCCAAATAGACTATGGATGCAGCACCACCGGCTGCCGATGTTGTCAAAGCAACCATAACCTATCATAAATATTCCAGTAGTTAATATTATATGGTAATACTTATAGTAAAATAAAGAATGAATAATTGATAAAAGTGACACAAATGTATAATATCATAGTATTAAAATGCTTACGATGTCAAGGAAGATGAGAAGGACCCTTGGAGCCACCAATTGAGGACGAATAATGCATACAATTGAGATAGGGATCGAGAGGGCTAGGTAGGCAGCAGTGATGGCATTAGCAATCACAAAAAATCTGTCATACATAATAAACTATAAGATAGAAAATTTGACTTATTATTAAAAAATATATAGTATTGATATTAATATCATAGATTTTTTAGTAGAGAAGATATTGTAAAGTAAATAAAATTGGAGGTGTGTAAAAACTTCATTCGGTTTTGTTTTTTACTATGACTTACGTAAAAGCTGGCAGATCATCAAACTGAGCTTTGAATTGGAAAAACTGAGTGAAGAAAGGGAGGGTCTGGTCTGTAGACCCCATGGCTATCGCAGCTCCTAAAGCAGCTGCGATACCAGCTAGCCTTAGAACCACATCAAATACAGCTAACCCTCTTTTGTACCCTCCCTTAGGAGCCTTTTGAACAATTGGTTTGATGGTACTTGACGATGGTGGTGCCAAAAGTGGTGCCTTCCCTTTCCTTTCCTTGGGTGTCTCAGTAATGTTGACTGCGGTTGACTCGCCTTCCATTTTGGAGAGAGAAAGAGAATGATAAAATGTGATGTAGAGAGAGAATGTGAATAAGGGAGAGGTGTTGAAGGTGATGAGGGAATGTTGGGTGGAAGAATGTATATATAGGAGATTGATTAATGAAGAGTGGGTTAACCGATTTGTGTTAGAAAATATAATGGAGTTTGGAGGAATAGAGAGTGGTTGGTACCTTTTTCTTTTGTTTTGTGGGAGAACATTTATTTTTTTGGAACATATGATCGTAAAATGATAATGATAATAATCTTATTATTAATTATGTAATAATGTTAATATATGAAGTAAATTCAATGTTCATCAAAACATAAGTAGTCAAATCACGGCAAGAAGATGACGAAAATGATAATTTAATGGAGATGATGTTGATTAGGCAAATAGTTGTGATTAATATATCTTTTCATGCAAATATGTAATTCACACATATAAAATTTTTAATTCAAAGAAACTAAATAAACCCTATATTATGTTTTTTTATTTACAAGATCCAATAGAACAATCAACAAAATACATGTAAAGTACATAAAAATATCATCATAATGTTTTCATGTATGTGTTTCGTTTTTATTAAATTAAAACAATAATTATTTTACGGTAAATATATTGTAACGAGATGTGCATATAACAAAAGAAAGTCAACTAAATACCAAAGTTTTTATCCCAAAATCAGTCAACTAAACAACTAAATCTTCCCTGCTCCACTTATGTATGATGGAAGGGAATACCGTATACCACCTAAACACTTTTCTCTATGTTATCTTTTTGTTATAAGATAAATAAATAATGGGGCATATGTATTTTTAATATATTTTTATTCTAAAAAACTTCTTTTTAAAACCAATAGTTAAAAACCTGTGTTATTCGATTAAAATCAATAAAATACACTTTCCTTCATAATCGTGTATGTATATTTAGACATTAATTATATAAATTTTAGTGATCAAAATTAAATGAATCTTGATAAAAAAAACATATGAGAAATGATGTTTTAAACGTTCAGTTCAAGCAATCAAGTGATCTTTTAAAGAGATGAAACCGGTTACAGATGAATTCAACAAAAGAATGGTATGAATCGAAATAGAGAGTGTTCATTAATGTGTGGACATCTAATGTGTTTAAAAAAATTACAACACCTTGGGGTGTAGTAATGCTTATGGATAGAATATCTCCATCCGTAGAGTGCATTATAACTCCAAAAACAAAAAATAAAAATAAAAATAAAAAAAGAAGCCGAGTCCTCAATGTCAAAGCATATGTGCTATGACAACGGTGACCAATGGTAGTCCAAGAGTAGATGGTAATGATGGAGACAAACACAAGCATGATGTCGTTGTTGGAGATGTTCACGTTTCGTTGTTTTCAGCTACATCATACTTTACACGTAAAGAAAAGCATGGAAAGAAAAAAAAAAGTCGAAAGAAAAACGTCAATCATGCCCTTAATAAAGAGTTTCATTCGATTTTTAGAAGTGGCGGGAGCTTTGGGATAGGAAACGACAAGAATCAAAACAAATTTACAAAAATTAATAGAGTATTGGTGTGGAAACGGGAATAAATGAATTTAATAACCCTAAATATATGTAATATGAAAGGCGGGTGATGATGAATCTTGTTCGGTTCAAGGAATTAATTTTTTGGGTCTACAAGAAACACGAATGATTAGAATGGAACTATTGAAAATAAAGGGCTTTAGGGTGAGCATTTCGATCGGACCAAGTTTGACAAAAATTAGAAGACTATGGACCGGACCTATTAAGGTTTACCGTGTCTAGGTCCGGATCCAAGTCCAGGTCCAAGTTTTTCGGTTCTTGTACCCGTTGTACCGATACAACTTTTTGAAACCCTACAAAATCTACTACTTTAAAACAAATACACTGTGGACCTAGACCGGACCTACCTGGTATTGTACCCGGACCAATTTTGCATGATTCAAATAATCGATAACCAAACCTACTCTAAAAACCCGATCTAGGTCTGGGTACAAATGTCTTGTTTTCGAACCAGTTCAAATGTTCATCCCTAACTAGTAGTGATCGGGGAAGATCACATGAGATTAACTCCATTTAAGATCCTTTGGTTTTCTGAAGAGTAATACTTGTATGAACAATTGTTGTTATCATAGAGAAAGAATAAGTGTTTCACAATTTAAAATGTTGAAGAGTATACGAACAATGTTGGTATCATACAGGGAGAATAAGTGTTTCACAATTTAAAAGAGAAAATGACACTATGACACAATTAAGTTTTGTGTTTGTTCCGGATTGGTCAAGTTAACTCTACTGACTTGGCATCCTACGTGGCAAAATGGATTAAGTTAATGAAATATGCTGCTTACGAGGCGTCCACATATATTACTATTTACGGACCCACATAGATTACTATCAACTTCCTCAATCTTCACATATATTACTATCACCGTTTCCGATATTCTTCTTTAAATTTTTTTTTGAACGGCAAAATCATATTAAAAGGAAACTCGCGAGAAGCTAGAAAATAAAAGTTAAGACCCACTGGTCATTCTTCTTTAAATGGGGAATATAAGTTTAGGCCCACTAGTCATACTTTAGCTCTTTGAATTTTGTTAAGCGAATTGTATGATGATTATGAGTTAAAACAAAGTCACTCCTCTCATTTTCTTCATCCAAGTTTTCAAAACCATATTTTAGGGGATTAGCCATTTGAAATTTCGAACTAAAAGCAATTCTTAATAGTAGCATTTCTGATCAAACGGAAGAACAAGATCCAAAAGTCAAAATCATGGAAACTAACAGCTTTTCAAAGGTTAGAGTTCAAAGCAGAAGACTTCATCATGTGTTTAAGAGACGAAAACATAATCAGAAAAGGTGGTACCGGAATCGTCTACAATGGATCAATGGCATACGGAATCAACGTCGCAATCAAACGATTAAGAGCAATCGGTATGGGTGCATCTCGTTTTCGTGGAGGCTGACGTGGACGTCGACAACGGCGTTATGACGGGGCACATTTGCAAGATACTCAGTTACGTTTGTAATTGTGACACAAACCTGTAAAAGCCTAAAGGGGCACATTTGCAATGTCAAACAAGGTTAAGGTTAAGATTGCGATTGAAGTTGAAATATGTAAAAATAAAATTAATTATAATATCTATGTGTAAATGATGTGGCACAACTTGGATTAAGAAGTTTTAGAACATGATTGAATTGGTTAAGTGACTTTGAAAAGATCGATGCACACAAGGCGAAGATTATAATTTGTATGGAGAGTTAAAGAATATGAAAACTCCAAATTTTTCCATGGGACGCTAAATCAAAGAATGCTTCAATTGTCAATTCGTGATATAAGATCATATATGTTATATAATAGTTTAATTGGAGCTTAATATAAGATCATATCAAAATTGCTTTGATTGGAGCTTAATATAAGATCATATCAAAATTGCTCCCTAAAAATTTATTAGACATGTTAAGATGTTTACATTCCTATGAGAAAATATGAACAATCTATGCAAATTAAGAGCACGAAATAGCCAGATATGTTCACATAGCCAAAAAAAAAACTTTCACGTGTTCAGTCCTCATCAGAATCCTAAAACCAATTCTTAATATCCTCATAAAAATTAACAGAAAACAGATCAAGAGACCCAATTCCCATAAACACAAAGAAACAAAATTTAACACAAGAACCTGAAACAAGATTTCTGACTTAATATCCACCCTTGAGATCATTGACAACATCATATGGAATGGGAGTCACTGTCTCTAGAGTAGTGCCTTCAACCATGAACCCTGGTTTTGGTCCCAAAGGTTGTCTTTTTGTACTGATCACTACACCTTTAGCTTTGGCTTCAGCCTTTAGTACATCGTTCTTCTTAACCCTTTGCTTGAATTCTTCTGTGCATCTTGATGGCATCACATGCTCCACACGAACATGAATCCTTTTCTTGATGATCCTGTTACCAACCTGCAACACATAGGCATGTTAATTACAATGTTTAACTTCAAAGAATCCGTTAGAACGATGAATAAACCTCTAAGAAAGTTGAGAAACAGTTAATTTAGGGTTCTATCCTAATGAACTACTTCGAATACGATTACCATTTGCATCAATTGAGATGAATTGTTGAAATGTAAGGAAAATTAAAGGACGAATTCGTCAAACGGAGTATCACTGGGCATTTGTGTGGATACAAATCATGGCATTTGTAAATCGGAGAGATTGGTGGTGGAATTAAACTGACCTGTTTGTTCATTTCAACACCGATGGCGCGCTTGGTGACGTTCCATACCTGACCGGTGCGACCATGGTAGAACTTATGCGGCATACCTTTGTGAACGGCGCCATTAACCTTGATGTCAACGTAATCTCCAACGTGATAAGTTCTAAGGTAAGTGGTTAGATGGATAGTACCCTTCTTCCTGAATCCTCTTGCGAACAAATCCCTTGTTCTTGACCTCAATCCATGGCCAGCCGGCATCTTGCTCCTTTCTAGTTTGAGAAAACACAGGTGAAGAGAAGTATAAAACCCTAACTTGCACCGTGTGACGTTTTATACCGATTCGGGCTATAAGGTACTCGGCCCAATGGGCTTGTAGCATTTGCATGTTTAGAATAAGATTTGCAATAAGTTTGGGCATAACACAAATTTTGATCTATGTAATTTTCGTACTATTATTATATATCGGATTTTTTTATAATAAGGTTGGGCATAATATGAACAGGAACAGGAATAGGAATAGGAATAGGAAGACAAGGAGATATATGGTTGGTATGGAATGAGCAAGATGATTGTGAGGTATGACAATGAATGATGATGCCTAAATCAATTTGTGGTCTTTTGTTTTAGATTCATATCGTTTTTCTTTACTCCTCGTAAGATTCATAATTGGATCTAGATATCTTTGTGAAATTCAGTTGGAAATGAAAACAATGTCAAAAGCACCATGGATCGTAGTCCGAATTCATTTTATAGTCAATCGATGCATTAAATCATTGACATCATCCTTATAGATCCCTATAGATATTATATGAATGCATCAACGACTCATCCTGAATAGGTCAATTGGGAATATGGAACATAGATTAAATGAATGCATCCACATCTCATCCTGAATAGGTCAATTGGGAATATGGAATGCGAGTGATAAATCAAGGATTTCTTCTCGTTACAAAATTATAACTTTATGTAGATAGAAACTATAAATTTTAAATGATAAAACCTCATAAATGGTCCATGTGTTTTTTTGGAATCTGGGATATAGTCTCAAAGTTTAAAAAACCTCATAGATAGTTTATATGTTTTCAAAACTTTTAACAAATAGTCATTCAACCACATAAAAAAAGGCTTATATACCCTTTTTAATTTATTTTTGATTTTCTTTATTTAAATCTATCTTAATAAATAAATAAATAAAACCCCTGCCTTAGGCATCTCTCTCTCTCTCTCTCTCTCTCTCTCTCTGGAAAGTATCAGTCAGCCCCCCATTCACCTCCTTTCATCTATATCTCCGACGAATCCAAAAATCCTTCATCCACTTGTTGGAAACCACCAACCCTAACCCAAATCGAAACTAGAAACTTAATTTTGATACATAGTGATGCTTTTGGTTGGGTTTTTTGGGCATTTAATCTAACGCTCCCATTTGGGGTTTTTGATGATGTCATGATGGAGAAGAAGACTGGACAATCTCCTCCATCTATTTCATCAGGAACCACTTACGATTTCTAAGGTCAATCAAATTCATCAGGTTTAGATATGCCTTCAATTTCATCATGAACGAGTACTTATTTGATTCATGGGTGAACACATCTTCAAAGATGAAAAATGGTGTCGGGAGGTAGGAGGCGAAACAGATAAAGAGTTTGTTGGTTGAACTCTGGCACTTATAACTCCACCTCCTCCCATCTCAGTTTTGCAATCACTACCAACACATTCTAGCATCTTTCCTAATAGGCATTCTAGCATGCAACCCTGATCATATCCGTATGTTATCTTCTAGTATGCAAAACAAATAACATAACAACATGTATGACTATTCTGGGGATCACTTACTTGAACTCGGTTGATTGCAGACATCACACCCCTTTAATATATATATATATATATATATATATATATATATATATATATATATATATATATATATATATATGTGGAATATATTAAATTGAAATAAAAAATTGAATGAATTCCATCTCACCAATGTTATATAAATTACAACATCCAAAACGATTTTGATACCTTTGTTTTTTTTTCTATGCATTCTTTTTCTCCTCTAGCAATCCATACTGGAATGTACTACAAATCCATGGCTTTTCATGTTTCATAACAGTTCAAACTCATCAATAATAAATATTTTCGTTTCCTTAACAAAAATTAATTTCAATTTTTGTTTCCCTTTTATGTATATATCCTTTGTTTTTGTTTTATGTATAATATGACCTCCAACCAACTACATTGTTATTTCCGAAAAACTCCATATAGAAGTAATATGAATTTATACTATAGTTTCAAACTAAATTTACTATGAGAGTATATCTTTTCTAAAGCCTTCAACAATATCAACAATATCTTTTTTGCTTTTCAGTATACAAATTTATTTTTTGTTTTCTGATTTCATTTGCTGTATGATATCACCTGTTTCATTTTTCTGTATAATATCACCTGTTTCATTTTCTGTTTTCGTTTTTTCGTTTTTCTGTTTATTTATACATTTTTAATAACAACATATTGTCTATACATCTATGCTTATCTCTTCATGTATATTTGTATTTTAACAAAAATTTCATCTATATATATTTTTATTTTCGAAAGACTCCATATACAAGTAATATGAATTTATATATCCTACATTTTCAGACTAAATGGACCATTACAAATTGACAATATATATTTTCTAAACTCTTGAATAGTATCAAAAAAATCTTTTTTGGTTTTGAGTATACAAATCTATTTCTTTGATTTTCTATTTTCATTTCAAACTAAATGGATCATGACAATATATCTTTTCATTGTATTATATCGTTATTTTTTTCTTTTATTCACAAATAAAATTTGTTTAATACATGTTGAAAATTAATCATATTTTTATTTTAATCAACTATTATAATTTTACAAAACTAAATAAAATATCTCTTAATTAATAATTTATTTAAAATAATTAATTAATAATTATGAGTTTCTACTATGAAAATATATATAATTTTGTAATTATGGTTCTCACGGGTTATAAACTAGTTTTTTTTTTTTTTTTTGAAACAGCAAACGAATTAATTTTGTAATTATGATTCGCAATATTTGAACGAGCAACCCGGATTCGAGCTCATTTACAAGACAAACCCAACCCCATAGGGATTTCTAGGGAAAAATTCCCTACTTGTGGCACTATAAGAATGCATAGTTAAGAAATTACTTATTTTGACTCTGATTCGATTTGATTTGGTGCATTTTATTTTATGGATAAAGTTAAATACCATAAGGAAAAGTCAAAAGCTTACACTCGTTGACCATGGAGAAGGTCAATGGTTTTGATGACTTGAAGGCTTCACGACCATGCAAATTTATTGACCTTATCCAAATATGAACGATGCATGCAATTAGTTAACTTCAAATTGTCGCAACTGTATATTATTATTATTATAAATTTAGATACATATATATGCAAGTAATTGATTTGTTAGATTTTATCGAATAGAATTTATAAATTGTAATACAGTGTAGATTTGGTTTGTCTTTAAATTCTATATGAATCAAATTAATGAGATCTCAGTTTTATCCAAACATTTAGTAACCTGTAAAAACCAAACTGATGTGTTTGTATAAGTTTTTAGAGATCTAAGACGAGTCAAAACTACAATGCACAGCGTACGCGTGTATATGTCAATTCATAAAAGAGCTCGATACATGCATTTCTTTTCATAATTAATACAAACATTTATCTAATAATATTTGTTACACTTGTAAATATATAAAAGAAGTTCATGCTTGAAAATATGTAAAAATAAAATAATAGAAAATATTCCATGGACTTTACTCGTTCCTGTTCAAGTATAAATACCCAAGCACAATGCAAAGGAAAAACATCATCATCCACGATTTTCCATTTCTCAGTCTAACCGAACGCCATGGCCAACAATCTTTTCTTAACAAATTCCACCGCCGCCACTACCTTCATAGTCGTCCTTTTCTCCCTCCTCCTCGCCGGAAAATCCCAAACTTTCTCAACCAACTTGCCAAGAACAGCGCTGCGACTTGGGAAGCAAAAACTAACACACCTCCATTTCTTCTTCCACGATGTTGTCGGTGGTCCAAATGCAACCGCCATTAGGGTGGCTGCAGCCTCTATCACCAACACTTCCACCACAGGATTCGGGGCTGTGATCATGATGGACAACCTCTTGACGGTGGGGCCCGAACCAAACTCTACCAGGGTGGGAAGAGCACAAGGGATGTATGCGTCTGCGGATTTAAATGACATGAGCTTTATGATGGTTCAGAACTATGTGTTTGATGAAGAAAGGTATAATGGAAGCACTTTGAGTATATTGGGTCGGAACCCTATTATGTTGCCGGTGAGAGAGCTTCCGGTGGTCGGTGGAAGTGGTGTTTTCCGATTTGCTCGTGGGTATACCGAAGCTCGGACTTATTTTCTGAATGCTACCAATGGAGATGCCATTGTCGAGTACAACGTTTATGTCATTCATTATTGATTTCATCTTTTCATTCTCGCTTATTTATGTTTATTTTTCTTGGTTTTAATTAGTTCATGAAAATTCATTTGATTTTTAATTTGTTTATTTATGAGTACACATTTGTTTATTTGTTTATGCTGAATTACTTAATTACCTGTATTTAAATTTGAGAACTTTGGTTGGCAACGATATCTAGAATATAATTTGGGCTAATACAAGAAATCACAATGCATTAATTATTAATCTTTTTATTGTAATATTGTCTTTATATTTATCTGTTATGATACTCACTTAAATTTTATTTACGCATCTTTTAAATTAAAAACTAACAATTATGATAACGAGTAACCAAGTGTCTTTTAAACTACTCATCGTATTTCACCGACTCAGCATAATTAGGCTATCCACATTGGCATTTTCAAAGGTCTTACAAAACAATTTAAATTCATATTTATTTGAGATGTGTTTAAGTCAAGAATGGCCCCATTTTTAATCTTAAACATTATTATGTAAGACTACGAAGATTTTTCTCTCACTACAAGAAAATCACCCTTTAGCGGCGACGCTATTACCGGCGACGGAGGTCTTTAGCGGCGACTCTAGAGATTGTCGCCGCTAAAAGCCCATGTCGCCGGTAATAGCGTCGCCGCTAAAGGGTGATCACTCGAATCCGCGTTATCCCCTTCCGTTACATCTAAACCGTTCGATCAAATATCCAATCCAACGGTTGGGGTCCTTTATCCGAACTAACCTAATACCGGCGACATATGTGTCGCCGCTAAAGGTTGAAATTGTCGCCGCTAATAGTTCACTAAAAAATGACGCGGTACCCTTCCCTCCAGATTGTCGCCGCTATTGATAAGTGTCGCCGGTAAAACCCTATTTGTCGCCGCTAAAGGCGTCGCCGGTAAAGCCTCTCGCAGATAAAAAAAAACGCACGCAATAGACTTCATTCTTCCATATTCTGCTTTCTGTTTACCTTCGCTACCCTTCGCCCCTTCCAGCTTCTTCCGAGTTCATCTTCAATTTGCTTGTTCCATCCCGATTTCTCCCCACATTGTGTCATATTAAGGATATTAAGGATGAATGTGTGATTTGGGACCGATTTCTAACTCAATTTCTTGAAGAAAGGTAATTTGATTTGATAATTTCTTTGATAATTTCTTTGATAATTTCCTTGTTAATTTGTATGTTAACACTGAAAAAGTGTTGATTAAATTTCTAAGATTTGGTAATTTAATTTGTATGTTACCCTTGCAAATATTGTTGAAGAGATTTGTGACATCTTGGATAGCTCCTAGGTTTTGTTGGAGGACATTTAACCTTACAAGCAAGGAAACATCATCTTTACTGTCGATTTGTAGCTTCATCGGGTGAATAGCAGTTTTTCCGGCTACATATCCATTGATTTCCGCCACTACAGGTTCTATTATTTCATTTTTTTTTTTGAATTTGGTATTTGTATGTGAAAATTATCTGAAAATTGCCATATGTGAAAATTGTGTGTATATTTGATATTTGTATGTGAAAATTGTGTGTATATTTGATATTTGATGTATGTGGTATATAAGTATTTGGTAGAAGTATATATATGATATGTGAAATTATATGTATTTGTTATAAGTAGGATGTTATTGTGTGTATGTGAATGTATGTATGTTTGTTGTAAATGTGGTATATGATTGTGAAATTTTTGTATTTGGTATAAATAGGATGTTATTATCTATATATGTGAAATTATGTGTATTTGGTTTAAGTAGGATGTTATTTTGTGTGTATGTGAATGTATTTGTATTTGGTGTATATGTGGTATATGTATGTAAAAGTATGTGAATTTCATGTTCTTATGTATTATGGAAAAATATGTGGTTTTGGTATAAGTAGGATGCTATAATTGAAAAAAAAAAAATTATTGTTATAATTGCAAAAAAAAAAAAAAAAAAAAAAAAAAAAGCACAAAAAAATGTTATAAAATTGTTAGGGTACTATACACATATTCATGTGTGTATTGGATATTTTTTGGGGGGTTTGAACTTTGAATGATTATCCCTTTTTAAATCATGTCATTTTGATTATTGTGGCAAAGTGTTAAGAATCACATTTTAATGTTTGAATAGATGTGAATATAATAAAATTAAAATGATTATTTAAAAACCAAATTGTCAATACGCACCAAAACAAATATGATTTTTAGGAAAACGAGAAAAATTACTTATCAAACCTGTTTTAAATACTTTTAAGTCATATTTCTTATTATTAATAATTTTATTACTAGAAAAAAATGAGAATAAAAAATTGCAAAATAATATTAGTAAAAGCTTTAAAAAAATAAGATTATTATAATTGACAAAAATAAATCAGCACTCTAAAACCAAAAATTATTGCTACAAACTCTTTTTAGTGATTAACTTTTCTAAAATCGTCCAACCCCGAAATAACGTATTTATATGTTATAAATAAAAAATATATATATTTTTTAATCTCGACGGTAAATTACAAATACTAGAAACAACAACACAACAACATAATATGTTACAAATATATATATTTTTTAATCTCGACGGTAAATTACAAATATATATTTTTTTTAATCTCGACGGTAAATTACAAATACTAGAAAGAACAACATATTTATAATGTTATAAATAAAAAAAAAATATTTTTTTTAATCTTGACGGTAAATTAAAAATATATATATTTCTAGTTTCTACCCAAGCTAACCCCAAATTAACCAATAAGTTATATAGTTAACTTATAATCTTCAAATTAACTTATAATGTTATATTTCTATAGTTTCATATTTATATTTAATAATTACAACTTTTGCCTATATAAATTACAAGTAATTGTAATTAAAATTAATTAAAAAAACGCATATATAAAAAAAATTTTAATTTAATTTTTTAATTTTTAATTTTTTTATTCTTTTAATTGTAAAAAAATGTGGATTGGAAAAAAAACAATGCTAATTCTATATACTAAACTCTAAACCCAAAATTATGTTTCAGCAACATCATGTCTATTGATAAAAGCTGGACTACTAATCCATATCGAAACCATCCCGAGTTCCAAGCAGGACTCAAAGCTTTTATCGAGAAGTCCAAGTCACACCTTGATAGTAATGGTAAAATCAGATGTGCGTGTGAAAAATGTGATAACCGTTACTTCAAGTACCCGACTGCAGTTGAACGCCATATATTTATAAATGGTTTCAGTAAGTCGTACAAAATTTGGATCTATCATGGTGAATCTTTTATTCCTCAAATCGTCTTGCCAAGTAACGAAATGGCCGATTTAATCGACGATGTGATGTGGGAGTCGAGAGAAAATGATACCAACCTTGATGAAGGAACCTCGAATACAAGGGGTAGCGGTGTGGATGATGATTTTGCACAGTTGTTGGAAGAAGTGGAAACTAAATTGTATCCTGGTTGCATCTTTTCTTCCCTTGAGTTTCTAGCAAAGTTAATGCATATCAAGGTGAACAACAAATGGACTGATAATTCATTTGATCAACTCCTTGAGTTGTTGCAATTAGCGTTTCCCAAAGGCAACAAGGTTCCCCTTTCACATTATCTAGCCAAAAAGAAACTGAAGTCTATTGCTCTGGGGTACAAGTCGATACATGGGTGCAAAAACGATTGTTGTCTCTTTTGGAAAGAACAAGATTCATTGCAAGTTTGTCCCGTTTGTAAAGAGAGCCGATGGATCGATAAAAACACCAAGGGTAAGAAAGTACCTCATAAGGTGTTACGGTACTTTCCTGTGACCCCTAGACTACGACGTTTATATTGTTCGAGGCACACTGCCAAAAATATGATTTGGCATAGTACTGGACGTTCAGAAGATGGTGTGATGCTTCATCCTGTTGATGGGGAACATTGGCAAGATTTTGATAAAAAAAATACCCCGACTTCTCGAGTGAACCCCGTAACGTATGCCTAGGTCTTTCAGCTGATGGTTTCAATCCATTTGGAAACATGTGTAATCCACATAGCACATGGCCGGTCATACTCACCACATACAATCTGCCACCTTGTCTTTGTATGAAAGAGTCATCATTCATGTTGACTTTGTTGATTCCCGGCCCGAAAGCTCCTGGTAAGGATATGGATGTTTTCCTTAGGCCGTTGGTGGAAGAGCTTAAAGATTTGTGGCACTCAGGCGTACGTATTAAAGATGCGGCGACAAACACATTCTTCACGATGAGAGCTATGTTGTTGTGGACAATAAACTACTGGCCAGCTCGTAGTAGTCTATCAGGTTGGAGTGGGCAAGGGTATAGAGCATGTGCTACTTGCAATGAAGACACTCCTTCGTACCGTGCAACAAACAAAGTCGTATATATCGGTCATCGTCGTTTCCTAGATGCTAATAATCCGTTAAGAAAGAGGTTGGACTTTAACAGGATGGAAGAGACAAGACCCGCCCCGAGACACTTTAGTAATGACTACATACAAGAGCAACTAGATCGTCTACTAACTCGTAAACCGGGTAAACATCCTGAGCATGGAGGCGGGGAGCCAAAGCGGCAAGATTACGAGTTGAATTGGTCGAAACGAAGCATTTTCTTCGAACTCGAGTATTGGTCTTCTCTACAGTTGAAACACAACATAGATTTCATGCATGTCGAGAAAAATGTTGTCACACCCCCAAACCAAGGATGGCGGAAATGTCCGGGGGTGGAGGACTTCATGTATAGTATCATAACAACAATTGTAATAGTAATTCAAGCAAACACAACCAACATATATATAATTGAAAAAGTTACATCATTGTATGAATTACATGTTTACGAATCAATTACAATATGTTGACAAAATATGAAATAGTAGACGCCTTAGCGTCCCATCCTCAAAAGCACTTGGTTACCTGTTTAATGATTTCCTGAGAATACAAGTTGTTTGAAAAAGTGTCAACACAAAGGTTGGTGAGTTCATAAGCTTTTGTTTGGTATTATTAAAAGTCTTTCGTTTGTAAAAGTAGTATTTGTTTTAGAAAAATCCAATATTTTCCTT